TTTCCAGCATCCCCCTTATAATACTTGATTTGAAATTTTATATTATTTCTAAGAATTTATCTACAAACTAAAATTCATTGAATCATAATTTTGTTATATTTTTGTATTTCATACATATATAATATATATATATATCTTAATGTATGTATTGTTGCTTAATCAGAAATAGTGGCATGCACCTGTAATCACAGTAGTCAGGAAGGTGGCACAAGGTCAAAAGTTCCTGGGCTTCCAGGGTCACATAGTGGGATGCTTTTTCAAAAATTGAAATATCTATAACATTTATAATTAGTTTTGATTTTCATGTTATGTTTTGCTATTATATCTTTCTGTTGTAACTATCATGTTTTCTCATTTCCATTGTATTTGTTTATTCCTCTATTTTTAGTATATGTGTTGCTGAAGTGAGCATTTATTCCTCTGTTTTTGATTATAGGTTGTATATTCTGCATGAAGTGTGTTGCTAAAGATATTTGCTATATGCTATATATTGAAATGAGCATATTTTTTCACTATAACATTGTATATCAAAATTAAGATCTAATTCTATATGTCTAAACTCATTTCATGATTTTCTATGGAAGTAACAGATTATTTAATAATGTGCAGTACTTTGCATCAAAACCAAATGGTGGAATGAGAAAGTAGTTTAGTGGTAAAGTACTTGCTTTGTGTGACTAATATTCTGGATTCCTTCCACTCCTGCACTGATTGAAAAAAACACATAACATTTACAAAGCTGTTCCATCCCTATACTTTCTAATTCTTCTCTATTATAATCAGTGTAATATTTATATTTTGCAAGTACAATATTTATATTTTGTCCTAAGATGTATAAAGGTTTATTATGTCCTAAAAGAATTTATTATGAGTTGCCTATTTCTATATTTAGTAAACAGTCTAAATGTATCTAATATGCAGTGTCTGCATATTAAGTGCGCTAGAAAAATAATTGCTACGTTGCTTTTCTGAAGTTTTTTAAAATTTGCAATTTCAATGGCTACTTATGTATTAATGATTTAAATATTTTAACTTACAGCTCTTTGCTTTATCCTTTTTAGTACTTGAATTCCAGAGAATTTTAAAATATATTTGCAATTTTGTGCTTGTTACCCAGCAGCGCAAACTCATGGTTAAATTGAACATTTTTACATTGAAATTGTGATTTTCTTGCTTTAAGTACACTGTTTTTAGAATCCATGGTAGTAAATGTGTAGCACCACTCCCAGCTTCCTACATTTCCTATATAATAAAAAGTTTGGTGTCTGGAGTGAATAACAATAACACAGATATAAAATAAATGTGAATCAATACATTCTAAATTATCAAGTAAAGAGACTTGGGAGAAACATTTTATGAGAGAAACCTAATTAAAGTATGTTTCCTAGAACATGTGCACTGTGATATTTATCATAACATGTCCAACCATTCTTGTCTGCAGTGACTCCAAATGCATGCACTTTCTTGTAGTCAGTGCTAATAAAACCCATCTAGTTGCTAGACTCTGGCTTAACCTTTAATATATCATACTCTATTCACCATTCATTCAATGGTAAATATTAATGAAAGGGAAATAAACTTCTCTGTAGCTAAAGCTGGATTTGCTAACAGGGAAAGATGACTTCCCTCCAATTCTTTCAACATGCCAGGGCCTGTCTGGGTCCAGCTCACTCAAGAATTTTCTTTGTTCTTACACAGTTTTATTTCTGCCTTCCTGCCCTATGCAAAATATGAAACTCAGTGCACTGTGTTAACTGATGAAGCAGCTATATGTGAAACTCCAACCAGTAAGATTGCTGGGCCCATATGTAAATAAAGCATTGATACTTGTAACTTTCTGACTAATGAAATGATGTTAAATGCCTCATTCCTATAACCCTGACCCTTCCCTAAGGGTACAGAAACCCAGGTCTGGCTCAGTTGGTCAGTCAATTTCTTTGCAGAGAAGTCCCGGACTGACCTGCCAGTGTTCAGAATAAAGCTGTGCACTTTGTCTCAGAGACTCCTTGGTTCATCTTTCATTCTTCTGGACTACCTGTGTTGAGCTGTAACACTAGAGCTGTATATACTGGCTGGCACTTTGCTGCTACAGTTTGGAGGCTTGTCCAGGATGAATCAACTGCCCTGACCCCTTGATCATCAGTTGAAGCCCTTGTGGAAGGAGCGGGGGGTCCTCCCTGGCCCCTTGAAGAGGTTGTGTATCCTTAGAGTCCTTTCTCTGAGTCTCTCCAGAGGACCCGGATGACAACTGCTTGCAGCCTGTGGCTCTCCTAACCCAAAGGGAGTAAGGATTGTCTGGTCTGGCAGCAGAGGAGATAAGACCCTGGAGCTTTCTTACTAGAAAGTTAGACCTGCTCCAGTTTTGTGCAGAAGGTGGGTCTGGTGGCCCCTCTGTGAGAACAGAAGATTCTCATGTGAGAATAAAAGCTCTCACCTGTTTTTTTTTACTCAGTCCTGGTTGCAAGAATGAAGGCTTCTCACGTGTTTTTTATTAGATCTTGGTCTCAGTTTGCCAGTTTGAGGGACCTCTGAGGGAAGTGGGTTGGAATGTTTTAACCTCTGAATGTTTGTCATGTGAAAATATGTAGAAGGTGACATAAGCCTTAGGCTTTCCTGTCCTTACTGCTCCACTAGGAGAGTTTTCTTTTATAGGCTCTAATTTTGGTCTTTTTGCTTCATAGATTGTAACTTCTGTTTCATAGGTTCTAGACGTTTGTTTCATAGATTCTTGTTTTTGTTTCATAAATTCTGTACTTTGTTTCAACTTTTGTTTCAAAAGTATCTTAATTTTAAGTTGTGTGTTTTATTTTTGTTTTGTTTTGTTTGATGCCGGGGATTGAACTTGGATTCTTGTGCTTGCAAGGCAGGCAGGCGGCAGAACCACTGAGCTAAATCCCTGGCCCATTAAGTTGTGTGTTTTAAATATTTGCTGATTTCTTGTTTCTCTTATGCATTGTCCTTTGTTAAAGTTACATTTTATTTCTGTTTTGTATATGTTGCATTTGGACTTAGTTACTTGGAAGGCAGCTATGCTCACCACTATACCACCAACGCCGCACGCCCCGGACTTAGTTACTTAAAAGTGTTATTAAATGCGTTTCTTATGAAATTATCTCAGTTAAAGACAATTCAGTCTTTTATCTGTCCCTTATAGAATGCCAAACAGTGGTTGCTCTGCCAGCTAGTAATTGCCTTAAAGTCAGCTGCCACTCTCAAGACAGAGAACAGATTTCTCCACTTGTCCTCCAGTGAATCCCCACTCCCATTGAAGCCAATGGCAGATGGAATGTTGAGCAGATAGGCAGTTGGGTTCCTTTTGGAGACAGAGCTCTGATTGTGTGGAACTAGGGGTAACTGAGGTGACATGAGGGGTCATGGCCAGGGCTACTCTCTGGCAGATACCCAAAGGTCCCTCAGAAGAAACTTGCTCCTGACAGCCCATCTGGGTAATAAGCAGAAAATCTCCACATCTCATCCCTATCTGAGCTCCTCAGTGAGGTGAAAGGGAATCTCTGTCAGTGATCATCAGATATCTTCTGTCTCAGAGTAATCAGAAATAATGCTATGGGAGCCCTTTCTTAAGCCTCTGCTAAGAATTGAGCTACAGGGTTGGACTGCTTTCTCTACTAGTAAGATAGAACTCCATGTCAGATGTGAAAAACAAATCTTTGATAGATTAAAAACTACCCAAACCTCCCCTCAAGGCATGGTCTTCATCATTTGTGTGTGTAGGAAAAAATACCTTTGCCAATAGGTTGTGGACTTTGGAACTTTCACTGTGGACTTTATAGAGTGCTATATGGTGATTTTTTGGGATGTTTAAATGGCTTAAACTTTATTTGGACTTTTTCTCTCTGCTAGTGAATTAGAAACTCCCTTTAAACTCTTCTCCAATTTGTTGGGAGTTCATTTTAAAATAAACCACCTTATGGTTAGACTCCCTTTCCTTTTGAGGGGTGAAACTGAGACAGCTTACACAGGCTATTTTGTCTTACACTAGGAAAATAACAGCCACTTACTGACTTGCATTTCTGTTTTATATATTAACTAAAATAAAATTATTTAGCCAACCTTTCTCCTCCTTCATACATGTGTAGGAAATTGATAAGGGTGCCTTTAATAATATGTGGATTTTGGCTGCTAAGAAAACCTGTGAGTTTCAAATACTTACTGAATTTAAAATGGATCTTAAAGGAGTAAACTGGTCTGCTGCTAATAAAGGTGATCTAGGTGAAAGGCTGAGGTTTTTCTGCCCTAGGGCCCAGGACAGAATCTCTGACCTATCATCCCTAGAGGTGATCTCTTTTGACAAAAAAAAAGTGCCCTAATTTGATTGTTGACCAGTTTTCTTTTTCAAGGAACTAGAATGCAATGGTTTAAATCTCTTGGCTTGCTAGCAATACTTCCTTCTCTAAACATGATTGTTATAGCTAAAGAGAATTGTAATTTGTGCTGAAGTAAGGATATGTGTTTACTAAGAAAGATAAGATTGCAGTGCTGGTAAAGGATTGGAAACTCCATATATGAACCTCATACTACTTTGGAATGTATTAAGGAACACTGTAATATTTTTCTATATCTACAGAGAGTGTGCCTGCCTCCAAGAACCAAAATAAAATACAAAGAAAAGTATTGATTATGATGCTATCTTACAACTAAAATTATACTGTTAAAAAAAAGGTCAAAATTGCCTTATGTTCAGATTTTCTTTACATTAAAAAGTAATCCACAAGGGCCAGGGATTTAGCTTAGTGGTTCCACAGATGCCTTGCAAGCACAAGGTCCTGCATTCGATCTCTGCTACAAAACACACACACACACACACACACACACACACACACACACACACAGTAATTCTTGGTTGTGTTTAAAATAATTTATTTAAAGAGGAAAGCTTTAAATAATATAGATAAAACACTTATTCTCACTCTTTTAAGAGGCAAAAAAGAAGCCATTCAGGTTCTTTGATGATTGGTTTAATTTTCTGCTTGGCAGTGCAGTTGGAGTCAATCATGGCTTTTGTCTCTAGAGACATATTTTGCTAAGGACTACAGATCCACCATAAAAAAAGCTCCTGATCTTAATTGTCTTTCTACACCTGAGATGGTCACCTTTTTGTCCTTTCTCCACTGCCTGCCGTGCTCCTGAGAAATAACACAGTTCTCAACAGTATTTGATTCAAGGCACTTCCCTCCTGTTGGCTGCTGTATTTCAAGACAAAAATTCCAGAATGGTGAGTTTCCCCTCCCTGGAACCCTTCCAGAGTAAAGCTGATCTTCACTTATTTCTGGGCCATAAAAAAACTGGTTTAAGTTTAATCCTAAAACTATTGAAGACTAAATGTAAATGTTATCCTTAATTTATCTTTCAGTCCTTAGGCAGAATTATAGATGAACTCCTCTTATGTTCCTCATGAATGATAATAGATAAATGTAATTAAAGACATGCTTCCCCCAGGTTGCCACATGATCCAAATAATGTCAGCTGGTTTTACAAATACAGTACATATTGTTGTCTACATATAATAACTCAGGAGTCTTTTATTGGTCAAACATAATGTGTTAATTATTATGATCTGGCTCTCACAGGTCATGTAAAAATTTGTTAAGATAATTAAATACACTCTTAGGCTTAAGAAAACTACTGGAAAGGACTCCCCTTGGTAAATAAAGGAATGGCTTCCTGGAAAAAATTTATTCCAGCCTTTCCTCACAAACCTCAATAATCTTCATACCCTTGTGGGAAATACATTGCTAAACATATTTTTATTGTGATGCATATACATTGGTCATGGTTGAATAACTAAGTTTTCTGTGGGAAAGAAATAGGGTTTATTTAAAATGCTCTTGGTATAAAACAGTTAAGGGACAGAGGATTTATATAACTAATACTCATTGTTATTTCATGGTGTGCTAAATATCATTTATGCCTTCTGGGTGTACAGGTATTCTAAGATATTGTTTATAGTAATGATCTTTTTGACTCAGGTATCTGCCTTTCTCTTATGCTCCAGCTTCTTATGGTAAAATATACATATCAAGCTAACAGGAGATAACCAATAAAATAATAGTTTTTCTTATGAACTTGTGTGATGGATGTTATATGTCACTAGACTTAAGGGTGCTAAGATGTCAAATAGTCCAAACAATGTCACACATTAAAATTAAGGGCTAAACATTATAAACTTCTAAGGTACATTTATAGGCTGATACGTGTGTTCTCTTTAGATGACATCCTATTAAAGGATAACAAGTAAGAGTTTTCTGTATGACATTTAATGTCTTGTAATCAAATAGAGATGTTTTCCTAAAAGACTATTCTATACTAAGACAGACATTTGAGTGTATTGCAAAGGTATCATGAGTCTCATGACAAAATACTCTGTGTGGCTGTTAATCTTAAGTTTTTCTATATAATGTATAACTGTTGTCTGTTAACATTCTACAGGGATTCAACTATAAAAACAACCATGGTTGATAAAAATAACAGTTCTGTAGCTATTCTTTATATTTCAAAAGTGATTAATGTCCAACAAAATTATAATAGTGACCTTCTCTTCTGGATTTTCAACAACTAAAAATTGGAGACCAAAACTAAAAAGGTAACTGGGCTAAAACATAGCTAATATTTTGGCCCTGGCCCCCACAAGATCAAAAAAGATCCAGGACACAAAGGAACCTTTCCTACAGGATCCTATATCTTTGGAAAGTCACTCAATCTCCTGAGCAGGAAGATTGCTGGGCACCCAAAGACAAATGTACTTTGTGCCAAAGGAGGCTCATTAAGAGGGAAAAGTTTCTCACGCTTTCACTGAAAGCACTATGGTCAAGCAAGGCCATGACCCATCCTGATGGGTGACACTGACAGGAGATGAGAGGCTCTGTACATGGTTCCAAAATAATGCCTAAGGAGACTTAACTGACCTTGATAACAAGAGGTTCATACTAATTGACACAGGTCTCAGTTTAACTTGGTCTAAACATCCAGCAGAAGAGAATAACCAAAAGAGGTATAAAATAGTGCCATAGTAATAAAGCTAGATATAAAAAGAGGCTCCTATCACTGACCCCTTGTGGCAGTTTCCAGCTATCTGGTAGCTGACCATGGTTATGAATCATTAGAAAAAACTACGGTTAAAAAAAGAAGAAAAACTATAGTAAAATTAATAAGAGCTCTACTGGAGTTTTAAATTTATTGGCTAAATTTTTTCCTTCAAATTTTCTCTATCTTACAGCTAATACTGGAGAGACTTATAGATAACCTCCATCAATAAGGGTCTAAGAGCAAACAGGTTACAATCACTATTTCAGTTCTTTCCCCAACCTACCTTTCTATTCTAGTGCTCATGCTTAGATTATACATGGTCTAATCTCTTTAAAATTTTGTTTATTCTTGCCTAGAGGCTATCAGACTCCAAATGGTCTTGCAAATGGAACCAAAGACAAATGTGCTAGACTTCTTTTATCAGGATCCACCAGATTAGCCTTGTAAAAAGTTCATAACTGCTAAACTACAATGCAACTTCTATGTTGGATTCTAAAGTTCCATGGATCTTCTCCTTATCCTCTTTGTGGAAGGCTATTACTAGTTTTTCCTGGTAAGATCACTTGTTATTTATATTCATAAGTGCCTTGACCTTATTATTTAGCCCATGTGTTCTTAAGTGTTTCTTTGTTTTTTGTCTCCTGCAGACTTAAGGCTACCCAAGATGACAATACCTGGTGCCTATTGAGGGCCTTTAGATTAACACTCTGCAGAGTATCTCTGACTGCTGATCACAACTATGACCTTCTGCAGCCAGAAGTAGTCAGAATGGTCTTCAGCCCTTGGCCCCTCATGGCAGTTAGGTGTACTTCTTCAGAGGGAAAAGTATTATAGAAATGTAAGTTAATTAGATATCTTGTAGACAGTTACACAGCCCCCCCACCAAGACTCCAGCCCTCAAGGAACCAACACAGCAAGGAGCCAAAATGGAGAACAACTGAGGCATATTCACTGGTTCCACTGAGATTACTGGAAGAAGCTGTTAAAGTTTCAGAGATCCAGGCATGGACTCATCGCTCTTGAATTAAGAAGGTCCATCATGATGACTCCTGGGAGGCCCACACCAAGGAGACAACTCCCTTAAAGATTACCCTGACAAGACAGGGTGCTCAAAGCCCTGCTCCTGTAACTCCAGATGCTGACAGGTCAACAAATGGCTGAAGCCTGAGGACCTCAACCCATGAACTATTGCTATGCATTCCAGACTTGGTCTTTCCCTGACATCTTTATCCTTGCCTAACTCACAGTGATGGCCTTTACACTTTACATAGGCTTAGTGACTGTTACTCCAGGGGACTGAAACACTTCTCAAAAATGTTTTCTTTTAGCCATATGTTGGGATTTTGTGCTGGTGTTTGCTGTCTTATCCTGTTTGTCCTAGTCAATGTAAATATACTGGGCAGCCAACCTACGTATCAGATATTCGAAGATTGACTGTACCCCAGACCTGACCACAGGTTTAACGCACAATACTGTTTTAGACATCCAGAAGTGAAAGCCAAGACAAAAGAGTGTTTCAGTATTTTTTGATGCTTGTCCCGTATAACATTATGGATGGCCCCATATAACAACTGATTGTAGGGGAATTTGGTGAGAACAAGATACTGTGCAGAAAATGCTGGTAAATATTTATCTCCCAGATGGAAAAACCCACCAGCTGATCAACACTGTAGTCTGGACTGGGTTGGACCCAGGTATCTATGCCATCGTTATGGTGTGGCAATTGGAATGGCCCATACTATTACATGGACTCAAGGGGACCCTTACTCAAACACCCCCCAATGGCAGGATGTTCTGATTGTAAGCAAGGTAAATATAACCCCTTGCAGTTTATAGTTAAGTACCCTGTAAACCCCAAGATGGATTCTCGGCCAACTTGCAGATGTAAGAGTAGATACCTGAGGAAAGGACCCATGGTGGATTCTCCAAATTAAATTAGGATGGAAAGTCCCATTCCAATCAGAAAAAGTAAGATTGCCCATGCCCAGAAACCCCATTCTTAGCAAAGCTATAAAAGTAAAAACTGAAAATCAAAATGCCACAGAACTAATCGAAATATATAGCACACACTGAGTATTGCTGGCCTCAGACCCCATCCTTGCCTCTGACTGTTGGTTATGTGCACCCCTATCTCCCCTTACCTATTGAGGGATAGGAATATACACGTCACACCCAACCAAATCAGACTGCCAATGCCCCTAGATGACTCTTAAGTCATTCTGCTAAAAATAATGTAACAGCAGACTGTGTAGAAACTGTCACTACCAAAACTACCATTGATGCCCCAACAGGAACTTTCTTTGTCTATGGAGATGGACCATATCACTCTTTCTCACTAACTTATCAGGGGATGTGTGCCTAGGCCATCCTCATCCTAAACTTGTCCGTATATACATCAGATATTATGTCACAGGTCCCCACTAATCTTTGGGTCCCTTCCACTAGAAAAAAAATGGGTCCTGTGGTATTACCCATTCTTGCAGCCCTGGCTATTGTATACCACCTCACTTTAGGAGCCATGGCTGTTGGACCGGGACAACAATAGAATGCTCTGGGATGGCAGAATGCGGATGACTTAGATGCTGTCCAACGAGCCCTGGGAACAATGCAAAATCAAATAGACTCTTTGGCAGACGTAGTCCTCCAAAACAGGAGGGCCATAGTCTTGTTGACAGCCCAACAAGGAGGCACCTGCCTGTTCCTGGGAGAAGAATATTGTTATTATACCAACTGATCAGGAGTAGTCAAAGAAACTATATAACAACTAAAGGAAAGGATCAAACAGTACAAAAAGAAATACAAACCACAAGAATCTTGGTGGGATGCTTTAAGTAAATGGAGACCATGGCTAGGAGCCATATTAAGACCCTTGTTTGTGGTTGTCATACACCTAACAACAGGGCCTTGTTTCATAAACTGGTTTATATGATTTGTCTCCCAATGTCTCAATTCTATAAAGATCCAGGAATCTTACCAACTCCTGATGACCTCAGAATCAAACACATGTAAACCTGCCAAAATATAAACTCTCCAGATAAAGAATCAACTTGAATCAAAAAGTGGAGGAAATGAAAGTAAAATAAACTTCTCTTTAGCTAAAGCTGGACTTGCTAAAAGGGAAAGATGGCTTCCCTCCAATTCTTTCAACATGCCAGGGCCTGCCTGGGTCCAGCTCCTTCAAACATCTCAAGAATTTTCTTTGTTTTTAAACAGTTTTGTTACTCCTGCCTTCCTTCCATATGCAAATAAGATGAAATTCAGTACACTGTATTAACCGATGAAGCAGCTATATGTGAAACTAACCAATAAGGTTGCTGGGCCCATATGTAAATAAAGCATTGATACTTGTAACTTTCTAACCAGCGAGATGATGTTAAATGCCTAGTTCCTGTAACCCTACCCCTCTCTAAGGGTATAACAACCCAGCTCTAGCTCAGTTGGTCAGTCCCTTTACAGAGAGTTCCCAGACTGACCTCAGTGTTAAAAATAAAACTGTACACTTTGACTCTGAAACTTCTGGGTGTGTCCTCCATTCTCCTGATCTGTGTTGAGCTGCTGTATATACTGGCTGGCACTTTGCTGATTGATTTAGGGGGTTCATCTGGAATGAATTGATGAATTGACTACATTGGTCATTTGGTCATTGGTTGAAGCCCTTATGGAAGGAGCAGGGATCCTCCCTGGTACCTTGAAGAGACAGCGTGCCCTCAGAGTCCTTTCTCTGAGTCTCTGGAGGACCAGGGATGACAACCACCTGCTGCCTGGGGCTCTCCAAACCCAAAGGGAGTAAAGATGGATTGCCTGGTCTCATCGTTGGAGGACGTAAGACCCCAGAACACTCTTCACTAATTTGTTTGGTTAGACCTGCCCCAATTTTGGTGGAAGGAGGGTGTGGCTGTCCCTCTATGAAAATGAATAGTTCTCATTGTGAGAGCAAGAGCTTTCTCACCTGTTTCAGTTCAATCCTGATGGGGCTTGAATGTTTTAATCTCTGAATGCTTGATGATTGTGTGTGTGTGTGTGATTGTAATGGATGGTATAAGCCATAGACTGTTCCATCTGTGCTTCTTGGAAAACGAAAGGCTCCCTCTCGGAGCTACAGAGTGTGAGTGGGCTCGCTCTGCAATACTGTCTAAATAGGGCAAAATGGGACATTATGTGATGCATACCAATAGCCTGCCCCATCTTTAAAGTGCCCAAGAGGCCCACAGTCAGACAAGCTCCTCTGTGGACTGTCCTCAGTGGACTGTCCTCTGGGTGTCCCCCACCCTCTGTCTCGCCATCATTCACAGGTGCACTACATACATATAGGGAGTCAGAATGGGTGCAAGTCAGTCAAAACATACTGCCCTTGATTGTATGTTGTAGAATTTTAAAAGGGGCTACTCTGATAATTATTGGGGTGAGAATGAAACCCCAGAAGCTCTGTACCTTTTGCAAAACTGACTGGCCAAAACTTTCCCAAATGCCCACTAGAAGGAACCTTAGATGTTGACATTGTTCCCCAAATTTAAAAGAAGATTATAAAGCCAGAGAAAGAAGGCCATCCTGACCAGTTTCCAAATATAGATTCCCTAGATCAGTCTTTGCCTAAACCTATCACCCTGGCTCCGTGTCTGCACTATGGGAAGGACAGACACTATCCTGATGACCCAAGATCCTGTAAGCCCTCAAAAACATTTAATTGGAGGCCACCAAACAAAACAAAACAATCAGAATGGCTCTATCCAATCTTCTGGAGGAACCAGCCAAGGGAGAGTTATGGCTGCCTCCACCCCATGTGCCACAGCCCCAAGCCACTGCTCCAGTGCCACCACTCACACCTGCCACTAGTCCTACTCCACCATTGCAGCTGGCCACACCTGACTCCACCCCAATGATGTCATCTGATCCCACCTCATCAGTGCTCCCTCCATCAGTTCCAGTTCCTGTTCTTACCCAGGCTCTTCCAGTGCTATGGCCTGCCTTTCTGATGACTTCTTCAGTTCCAGTTCCTATTCCTGCACAAACTCTTCCAGTGCCAAGGCCTGCCCTTGTGATAATTCTCCAGTTCCAGTTCCTGTTCCTGCCCAAATACTTCCAGAACAGAAGCCAAGTTTCACTTCTTTCCCAGCATATACAAGACTTGACACTATGCCAATACCCGAGAGGTTACCTGAACTTGCCCTAGTCTTTTTGCCTCTGATGAAGCTCAGTGCTGTCTCTTTGAACCCTGCTGCCGAAACACCACCTCTGATCAGCCACCCAATTTGAAACCTCCCCAGGTTTTCAGTTACCATTACATGAATAACCAGGACCACCCAGTCAACCTACCTTCAGATGTTACCAGCCCTTCAGTACCAGTGATTTATTGAATTGGAAAATATCACCATCCTTCATATACTGACCAGCCACAAGGGATTATAGAGCTCATCTCCAGTTTCCAGACTTACTAGCCCAACTGGGATGATTGCCAACAGCTCCTCACAAACTTCTTCAATACAGAAGGACACCACATCATGAATGGAGCCCAAGAAAGGTTGGAACCACAAGCAGGCACAGAACCCAACCCAGATCAATGGATAGCTTTAGCCTTGCCCAAAGATCAACTGGTATGGAACTCTAATACTGAAGATGGATAGAAAGCCCTAATCAGTACTGAAATTCTCTCCTCACTGGTATCAAAAAAGGAGGAAAGAAGCCTGTAAATATAGCAAAGAGAACAACAATTGTCCAAAAATCAGCGGAAAGCCCTGTTGAGTTCTGTGAATGGCTCTGTGAGAACTACTGAATTTATGCTCCATATGATCCTTAAATAGAGTGCAACCAACAGATAATTATGCAGTTTTCATCACCCAGTCAGCTGATGACATTCAAAAGAAGATCCAAAAGACTGAGGGGTTCCCAGGCACGAATACTACCCAGCTACTGCACATTGCCCAGAAAGTCTTCATGAATAGAGAGAAGGAAGGGAGAAAGACAATATGACCAAGCTGCTCTTGTGGCAGTTATGGGAAAGGCACCTCCTAATGCAGCCTGACCTTACCAACAACAAAAGGAAGATTCCAAGGCCTTGCAGATTAAAAATACTAAAAGGGAAATTCCCTTAGCAGACCAGTGTGCACATTGTAAAAAATTTGGACATTGGAAAGAAATGCCCATTCTGCCAAGGGGAAAAGGAACCCAACCAGGCTGACCCTCCAACACGCCTGAAGCTCGCAGACCTGACCTGCTCTTTGCTTTACCAAGCCTAACTGAGTAGGACAGACCAGACGTTATAACCTGGGCCCCCAAGAGCCCACAGTCACTTCAAAACTATGGGGCAAACCTGTGACTTTTATGATAGATAGTGGGGCTGAACATTCAGTAATAACTCAGTTTGTTGCACCAATAGGATCTTGATATGTTCAAGTAGCCTCTGAAGTTTCAGTTGAACGAAAGTTTTGCCAAAGCCGATCCTGCGAGATTGGGAGCCACCTAGTCAAACAGGAATTCTATATATGCCTGAATACACAGTCCCACTCTTGGGACATGTCCTCCTCTAAGTTGGGAGCCACTATTTCCTTCACACCAAACCAACCAGCCCCACTCAGTTTCAACCCCAAAACATCAAATATGATCTTGACCCTGATTATTCCCTGGGAAGAATGGCACTTCCATCAGACGGAACTGCCAGATGGTCAAAACCCTGAAATTTTAAAAACACTTTCCATTGATCTGGGCCAAAGACAACCCCCTGGGACTTGCCAAAAACCATGGCCTATTGGTAATTGAACTTCATTCAACAGCCACCTCTATCAAACAGTATCCAGTGTCATAGGAGTCCTGAATCAACATCCAACCTCATATTTCCTTCCTGAAACAATCTGATAGACTGTCAGTCACATTGGAATACCCCTCTCCTTCCAGTGGAAAAACCCAGTGGAGACTATAGGCATGTACAAGAACTCTGCACCATCAATGATGCTACCGTCACTCTACATTCCACTGTTCCAAACCCATGTAATCTGTTAAGACTACTTCCCACAGACACTGCCTGGTTCACTTGCCTGGATTTAAAAGATGCTTTCCTCTGCTTATAAATTTCACCATCCAATCGAGAACTTTTTGCCTTCAAATAGGAAGATCCTGAAACAGCAAAAGGGCCAACTCACCTAGACTCACCTACCACAAGTGTTTAAAAATTCTCCTACTCTTTGGGGAAGCACTAACTGCTAATTTGGCCAGGTTCCCTCAGACTGACTATAACAAGAGTTAAAACATACAGATGATTTATTACTTTGTACCCCTGAACAATCAGACTGCTGAGGAACTCGGTCTCTCCTCCATGATCTACTGACCATAAGTTATAAAGTCTCCTGGAGAAAGGCCCAAATCTGTAAATTAAAGGTGCAATAACTGGGCTTTGACTTAGAAAAGGGAATCTGATGGTTAGGGCCTGAGAGAAAATAATTCATTTGCTCCATTCTGAGATGGGAAAATAAGAAACGGCTCTGGGAATTTTGGGGAGTTGCAGGATTCCGTCACATCTGGATTCCAAGGTTTGCTGAAAAGGCAAAGCCCTTCTGTGAGATGTTATCAGGAGACACAGATGAGCAAACAACATTTAAATGGAATACAGAACAAGCTAATTTAAGGCCCTGGAGCAAATGCTTTAGACTACTCCTGCTCTCAGCATACCTGATGTAACCAGACCCTTTAACTCTTTCATAGATGAAAGGAGACACTCGGCTTCAGATGTCTTGACCCACCAATGGGACTCTGGAGAGGCCCATTGCATATCTGTCAAACAATTTGGATCCTGTGGCAAAAGTTTGCTCTCCCTTTTTAAGAGTGCTGGTAGCAGCCATCCTCCTGATTAAAGAAGCTGAAAAACTGACTCTGGGGCAAAATTTAACTGTTCTACGTACTGTTGTGGAGCTTCTCAACAAATGGGGACACTGTTGCCTTTCAGACAGCTGAATCAGTGTTAAGGATTGCTCTATGAGAATCCCTGACTTACCTCCCAAGGAC